TGAGGAATACTTTCAGTCTGTCCTTTTTCCCTTTTCAGTGATGGAAACTCATCTTTCCAGTATGGCTGGGTTGAATTTACAAATGGCTGAACACATCTGAATTTTAAACTGTTCATTACTATAAATGATCAAGTTGAGCACCATGACGTCTGATCAAGTTTAATAAGAACACAGAGGGCTGGGAAGGTGGCTCAGTGGTAGAGCGCTTGCCTTGCATGCACGAGGCCCTGGGTTCGATTCCTCAGCACCACATAAGCAGAAAAAAAAAGCCAGAAGTGGCGCTGTGGCTCAAGTGGTAGAGTGCTAGCCTTGAGCTGACGGGCTGAGGGACAGCGCTCAGGCTCAGAGTTCAGGCCCCACGACTGGACCAAAAAATAAAAAAATGAGAACATAGAGAATGGCACCTAATTTTTCCATGAGTAAGAGATCAACTCAGAAGGCATTTTTCTAGAGTGAGACTTAAGTAACTTGTGAGCAAACAAGTATAATTTCTCCTATAAGTAATTATATAGTAGTGACCAATTCTAAGGTATATGTCTCTATATATGCATTAACCACAAAATATGAATATATATAATTTTTAAGAATTTTTTTAAAAATATAAGTGCCCTTAACTTTTATATCTGTCATTTATTGCAAGGCTTTGGTAAACCATTTTCTTTTCAATATATTGGTTTCACACACACACACACACACACACATTTACATATACCACATAAATGCTCTTGACTCTCTAGAAAGAGGTCTGTTGAATAATAGTTGTTCTTGTTTTCCTGGGCTTGTAGGGTGAGTGCTTTCTAAGAGGGTGGACATAATGGTAATTGCAGCAAGATCTTCACACAGTTTTCCTTGTCCTCACACCAAGTATTTCTCTTCCTAAAATGGATTTCCTTCAGGCTCATGGCTTTCTTGAAAACAATGAGTAACACAATCCTACCCCTTCTCTGAACAGAACAGTAGTTAGTTCTAGGCATCATTCGCTTTTTACTTTTTTTCCAATCTGATTTCTTCAGAAAGGTTGAAACATGGCATGGGCAGAAAGACAAAGATATTTACAGTTTAGTAATATGTGAAAGTTAATCCACGTGAACTAGGTATTAGATTTGTGCTTTATAAATTCATCTGGACACATCCATAATATGCTTTGATATTATCTTTACAATATTATTGTCTTGTAATTCTTAATCCTTACCTTTATGATTTCTCCTCTTGATTTCCAATTGAGTTTAAATTCCATAAGGGAGGAAGGTGATACTTAGGCTTGAACTCAACATCTCATGTTCTGCTGTGGCTTTTCCCTTAAGGATGTTGTGCTACCATTTGAACCACACCTCTCTTTCCAGGTTAACAGGACCAGTGATTTGTGTGTGTGTGTGTGTGTGTGTGTGTGTGTGTGTGTGTTTGTGTGTGTGTTATGTTTTGATTTTGTCAGTCGTGGGGCTTGAACTCTTGGCCTGGGTGCTATCTCTGAGCTCTTCAGCTCAAGTCACACGCTCTGCCACGTGAGCCACCGTGCTACTTCCAGGTTTCTGGTGGTTAATTGGAAATAAGAGTCTTACAGACTTTCCTGCCCAGGCTGGCTTTGAACTGTGATCCTCAGATCTCGGCCTCCTGAGTAGCTAGGATTACAGGCATGAGCCACTGGCTCCCGGCTAATATTGTCTTCTTAAATAGGTCCTTGGTAACAGATTTAGATCCCTGATGATAACAGAATTGAAATATTGCAACTGTTCAGAGAACCCTAAGAGAAGGTAAAAATAGCAATCCTTTCAAATGAGCCAATGGCAATACAACTTGCCAAAAGCCAACTGTGTTTGCTTATAGGACTAAAACAGCAACCCTTCAAAGCTCAGAATGAGTTAGAGGTACAATCTGTCATGAGTAATCACCTGTTTTCTCAAAGGAGAAATACAGAACCTCCCCACAACGGTTCCCCATGTGTCTGGATAATCTGGGAAAAAATGCTCTCTCCAGAGGCGTTCGCCTCTTGCAATGCATTTATATTTGTCTCAAATTGAAATAAAAGATGTTCACCTATCATTTGCCTTTATGACCCATGGGAAGGGATAAAGAAACATGGAGTCTGACCACCTTTGGGAATTTTCCTAACACCACTTCTGACCTTTTTGAATTAGTAATCTTTATTCATGAACAAAGATCCCAAGGGGAAAGTGTATTGCCTTATAGTAGTCTAAATAATAAATGGGTGGTGTGGGTAAAACAATTCACAGTAAATCATTGTATGTTCTATGGTTAGGCTTCATCCTTTATTAGGTAGTGAATAAAAGACAACCAATGCTTAGAACTTCAATTTAAGAGACCATTTAAACAAAAACGGTTCCATAGCGAAGTGAGGCAGAAGGGATCCAGGTATTTCTGAGTATTCTCATATGGCTGATGGAGAAAATATGGCTGATTTTTGTTTGTTCCCAGCAAATCATGATTTAGTAACACATTGTGACCAGGGCTCTGTGTGTCCCACAGGCCCTGACTTCTGGTGGACTGGCTCAATCACTTTAATGAAAATGGTGAAGAACAGCAAAAGTACATTGCAATAAGATTACATCAATTAACACCTAAGTTCTCCAACAGAGAGGCCAATATCAGCTGGGGAAAATTGTTGGATAAGGATTCAGGATGACTGAAATAAAAGGTCAAAATATTTGACAGAGTAGGAGAAGGACATTAAAGTCCAATATCATCAGAAGCTAGTCAAATGGGATACATACAGAGCTCAAAGGAACAAACTCATAGGCAAACTAGATATCTACCTACCTAGCTGAATTAGCAAGGGCTAGAGGAAAGAAACATTTTTCTAAACCAAAAGAATAAAGATATTGCTAAATAAAAACTAGTTATTTTCCAAATAAAATTGTCATGCTAACCAATATATTTAACCACAGTCATGGCTTAAAATTCTTTTTTACCAGAAGAATGATAAAATGTATTTTCTTATCTTCTCTATTCTTTCTTTATCCTTCTTTTCATTTATTCCTTTGCTTTTTCCCCTCTCCTTTCTCTCTTTTTCTTTTGTTTAGGTTGATTGGTTAACAAATGATAGATAAAGCCAACTGCTTGAAGGATACATTGTTGTGATGAATTTCTATCACTAGATAGTAAAGTATTCCAGAGACCATGTTTCCTATTGAGCACCAAGCACGCTATGGGTGTTTTGTAAATATAAAATAAAAAATGCTGAATACCTATCTCTCAAAGGGTTTCATCTTGATTCCTTATGTCTCTCTCAGTGTTATTACAGTTTAGACAAGAGAAGTTTCAGGAAGGCCATACCCCACCGTCCCCTATATGTTTAAATAGTCTTTGCAAAACCTTTTCAAAAATATTTTTTTCTTTAAACCTAAATCAGTTAGGATTGGTTTATGCACATTTTGTCCCTGCTTTAAGTTTGAGCGTCATTGTTCTAATTAATGCAACAGATTAGCTGCATCAAATCCCACCATATAGATAGGTACCTATTAGTTTTTTATGGGGGGGAAAAAAGCAAAGAGCCTTTATCACAAATTTAAGGCAAAACTATTTTACGCCATCCGTTACCAACTTAATGATAACATGGAACACTGAATGGTTATATAATTGTTTTATATAGATTTTTCTTTTTATAAGTTATTCTCTTAGTCTTTCTAACATATATACAATATACATATATTTATAGATACCCCTGATAAATCTTGTTTTAAAGGTAAAACATCAACTCCTTTTAGCTTTATAGTGAATTTCAAAGGCAGTCAGTATTACCTTAACACTCCACTGGAGAAATGATGTCCTAGTGAATCTAACCACTAACTTTTTTTTAACGCTGTGATCACTGGTGTGCAAGTAACTCAGATTCATTTATTTTGTTCTTAATAGTTAAATATATATTAGTTGCTTATATCATGTCAGTAGGAAGTATTAAAGAAAGAATCAAAACAATAAGGTCACAACAATTGCTAATGTTTAAGTCTAGAATCATACTTCAAACAGAAACCTTTGAGACAATCCTACTGGTATGATATAAAGTGAATACTGAAGGATTGCAAAGTTCGTGTTTTTTATTAGCTATGTACTAACATGAAAGATCTTTTCTTTTCCTTCTCATCTCAGATTGATTGTTCCTTGTCTTTGAACCAGCATAGTCATACTGATTTCTGTCTACCAAACCTATGTCGGTTTCCAAATGCAAGTTCATTATAAGCACTTCTATGTTTCCAGGAATACTTGCTTGAGGTGGGAAACTAGTATATGGTAAGAAATTAATTACCTTTCTTCTTGTCTCCCACCCCTGACATAGTCCCGTTCTAACAAGCTAGATGTGAAGGGAGAAGGCTGATTAGAGACATCTCCATGACACTGTACAGTGTCTATTTAATTTTTCTTATTACTGATTACTGGTATGAAATAGATCATTCTAACTTTTGCAATTCTTTAAAACCTAATGGCATAGAGTGAGACACAGCACTATTTGTTTTACAAGACATCTACTGTATCTACTTTTGTTGGGATAAATACCCAGTAATTGCTGTCATAGCCAGAGGACCAGCACGGTACTACTATTCACAGTGTTGCTTTTGTTTTTGTTTGTGTTTTTTTATTTGTTCTTGTTTTTTAGCTTTTTCATATTATTTTAATCTACAGAGTACATTACTATATACACACTGGAACCAGTTAATGCCCTTAGACAATTATAGTTGTTTCATAAAGCAGAAAAGACAATGCAGGGGAAAATCAGTGCCCAAAAGCACAGTCACAAAGGCTTCGAAAGTTCTAGATACCACTACAAGTCAATGCTGGAGATCACGTCTAAAACAATCAGTGATTCAAGAGGAATGCTTTAATTTGGAGAAAATACCACTCCCTCCCTCCCACCCTTGAGTAGCCCCTCCCTTTTTTAAATAATCTTTTCAATTCACTATCAAAAGTCCTGGCTCTTCAGATATGCGTTAAACTATAAATAAACACTGCATAGTTCTCTTTTGTTTTGTTTTTTGTGAAAAATTATTGCAGTACAACGACTCCAGTTTGGAATTCAGTAAGGAGCAAACAGTACTGGAGTATGGGCGGTCCGAATGGGTCCTGGCGCTGGTCGCAGAAGTGCAGGAGGCAGGGCAGAGGTCTGGAACAGAGAGGCTACAGGAGCAGTTCGAAGACTGAAGTGAGAATTCACTGCCACAGCAGCAGCAGCTGCTGTGGCAGCGAGGGGGTTGGGAAGAATTCGGGGAGCCAATGGCTTTGAAGGTTCTTTTGAAAACACTAATTTTACCTGTAAGGAAAAGCTAAAAGAAGGATGAGAATAAGAGTTTGGGAATCTGTAGTCATTAGTCAAAATGATAAGTAGGCTTAGGAATACAACGGAGTGATAGACTGATGGTTCGTGTTTGTAACCTTAGTTATTCAGGAGGCTGAGATTAGAGGATCATGGCTAGAGACCCAGCCTGGGCAGAAAAATGCAAAAGATTCTTCTTCAGTTAACCCCAGAAAGCTGGAAGTGGAGGTGTAGCTAAAGTGGTAGAAGGTCAGCCTTGAGTAACTTAATTAATTGAGAGCACTAGGCTCTTAGGTCAAGCTCCACTACTGGCGTACTCATGTGCACGCGTGTGCACGCATGCACACAAAGCAGTGAACAGCTACAATCATAAAGTCAAACTGCTGAACTGACAATAAAGAAAATAAAAAGCCTTGAACAACATTTTTCCCTTTGGAAGAGCGGGAGAGCTGAAAATGGCCAACCAGCAATGCTAAAGAATCTTCTAGAGAAGGACCTGGGAATCTTATTTAAGTTGAAAATTATACTTGCTGAGGAAAGTATTCATCTTTTTTTTTTTTAAGTAGTTTCTTATGCCTATAATCCTAACTACTCAGGAGGACTGTGTTTCAAAGACAGCCCAATCAGGAAAGTACTTGAGACTCTTATCGCCAATTAATCACCAAAAGGCTGGAACTGGAACTGTGTCTCAAGTGGTAGAGCAATAGCCTTGAGCATAGAAAGTTCATGGGGCAATATTCATGCCCTGAATTCAAGCCCAAGGACAGGCACCAAAATAAAATAAAATAAATGACCAAGAAAAGATGATCAAATGAAATATAAAATATAGAGAAAATTTGTGCCACCCTTGACACATTTGTTAACCATCACAGAGCAGACCCTGGTTAAAAAAAGAGGTTCATTGTTGTTTTCAATCGTTACTGAGCAGGCACCACAGACAAGGCAATTTCCTCCTGTCTAAAATCCAAGGGAAATACCAAATAGTAACAAAAAACTTCTTCAACAAAGAGTAAACACTTCTCCAAATATTGACACTTTCCCCTTTGTCTCTATGCAAATACTCACCACCTCTTCTCCATCCTGCTTTATTATAACAAACAATAATTCCAGGTTAGGAAGTCAAGAAGATACTTCTCCCTGGGGAGAATATTTCCACTTCTACAAGCACTAACATGGCCACAGTCCAGAGGGAGATTCTAAAGACTAACTGGATTTTGAGTGCTCTACTCACTTACAAACTTCAGCCACTTCTATGCTGGTTAAGACAGGACTACAGTGCTGAAAAACCAGCTCCACACAGAACTCACCTTCTCCTCTGCAGCTAAATATATTGTTATTTTTTTAAAAAAGTGGTTCCATCTGCATAAAAATAGAGAATACTGACACGAGCATCTTCTAATTAATGACTACAGCTTTCTTATAGCTATATTTTCACGTGTCCATGTACACAACAGCACCAACTATGAAAAGATCTATTTGAGAAAGACAGATTTCAAAATGCACAATCCGGCATCCTCAGTTTTCACTGAGGACCGAGTCTGATAGAAATGATAGTCCCTTTAACCAGTCATACGTTATAGTTACATGGTTGGAAGGTTTCCTCAATTCTCCCTGATTCCCTCCCAAATAACCCTAGTCATCTCTACACAAGGACACTGTATCATCTACAAGGCATACTTTGGAGTAATGAAAGAGGGCATTTTGCAGGATATATTTGTCCAGGCCTTCTATAGTTCCCTTGGATGAAGGATTAAGTAAAACAAAGTCATCCTCTTGAGCCTGTATTTTGAACATCAATGCTTTGTCTTGAAACTCTTAAAAAGACTTTTATTGACCTTCTACCTTGATTATCATCATCACTCATATCAAGACCAGATTTCATAAGGCGACTCCCTTAGAGAATTGAAAGAAGCTGATCTTTTCTCCCTTGGCTGTACTCAATGATGGATCTGGACGCAAATACATAAGACACTAAGCTGTGGCTAAAATGGGGCAAAGGCTTGACATAAATCATTGGGCCAATGGTGGTATCGAGATCTCACTGAAATCAATTTGTGATTTCTTAGGTACATTTACTCCACTTATTGACTGACATTCTCTCCTCCCCACCCCTTTCCAAAAAGTATATTCTCACAGACTGTGGACATTACAGAAAGCATGTTATCTATTGGGAAAGAAAGATGTCACTCACCCCCAGTGGATGTGCTGCCTTAGGAAGCTTGTTGTAGGGACTATACTTGGGTTTCGGGGGCTTTCCAGCCGCTCTGTCTTTGTGCCTTCGACTGCTAATGTGCTATTAAATGCAATTATACAGTGACAGCGTAAAAAAGGGTATCTACAAAAGCTCTCACAAATATTGTTTTAACCTGGAGAAAGATAATCATTATTTCATGCACATTTCAGAAAGACAAATTTTTTAAAAAGGCACACACTTGTGCCCTTGGATTCTGATGGCCAGAGCATAACTATTCATTTTTAAATATTTTTAACAAATAGAAGGATCTTCCACCACCCCCCCCCCAGCTTTTTGCCTTCTCCCTGAACACATATCCTTTTTTAGAAAAGTGTTCACAAAGGAAAGGCATGTCTAAAGGAATTTTATGTGCAAATAAACAAAGATGCCCAGGAAGGCATGAATTTATTTCCATACCAATATTTATCCTCACATTTGTACAGCCAAATGTCAGCCCTTCAAATTCTAAAGATAAATAACCAAGGTGCATAAAATCAGCAAAATCCTGTACACACACATATATAAAACACAACACAATACGAAGGCTGGGCCTTCCGCTGGAAATATACCACTGACATGTTTAGAAGGCTATTCTGTATAGAAATGAATGCAATGTGATTAGTCATCCCTTTTAGCAGCTGGTTGCAGGATTTAGAACTACAGCACAATACCATGTAATAAACTACACACAAAAAGAGAGTAGCACAGCACAAAATTAGTTGCAGCATGGAAATAGCAAAACACATAGAAACGGAACATGGTAAGTTGACCTTTAATGAGACTTAACACATTTGAATGGGAAATATGATAGAGGAAAGATTGGATAACTGTCTCCTCCTACTCCATACACACCAGAATAGTGCAAACTCCCTGCCAAGAACTTTCAAGAGATCCTAGAAGCCACTGCATTTCCCAGCAAATTAATATACACAAAAAAGGACAGTGGATAGAAGACAAAGGGGTGCAATAAAAAAAAATTGTCTTCCCTCAAAAAAAAAAAAAAGAAATAAACATAGTCGTGCTGGTAGCTTTAGTGTGGTCTTGTTTGTAAACATTTGGGTAAATGCCCAAAAGTGGGATTGCTGGGTCATATGGGAGCTCTAACTGGAGTCTTTTGAGGAACCTCCATAGTACTTTCCAAAGTGGTTGAACAAGTTTACACTCCCAGCAACAATGAAGTAAGGTTCCCTTCTGTCCACATCCCCTCCAGCATCTATTGTTATTAGATTTCTTGATTATAGCCATTCTAACTGGGGTGAGGTGGAATCTCAATGTTGTTTTGATTTGCATTTCTTTTATGGCTAGGGAGGTTGAGCATTTCTTCAGGTGTCTATTAGCCATCCTTCTTTCCTCTTCAGAGAAGTTTTTCTTTAAGTCTTTAGACCACTTGTTTATTGGACAGTTGTTTCTTTGAGGATTTGTTGTTTGGGGATTTATTTTTGGAGTTGCAGGTATATTTTAGATATGAGACCCTTGTCCATTGTATGGCTAGTGAAGATCTTCTCCCAATCCATGGGCTTTCTATTGATCTTGCTGGCTATGTCCTTTGCCATGAAGAAGCTCTGCAACTTCATGCAGTCCCATTTGTCCAGCCTTTCTTTGATTTGTTGTGTTTCTGGGTCTCTATTAAGAAAATTTCGGCCTGTGCCAAGGAGACCTAGGGTTTCTCCTAATCCGTTCTGTAATGTTTTCAGAGTGTCTGCTTTGTCTCTGAGGTCTTTGATCCATTTGGAGTTGATTCTGGTGCAGGGTGATATATAAGGATCTAGCTTTAGTTTTCTACAAGTTGTTAACCAATTTTGCCAGCACCATTGACTGAAGAGGCTGTCTTTCTTCCACTCTATGTTTTAGCTCCCTTATCGAAGATTAGATGGCACTATTTACTATAGCTAAGATATGGAACCAACCCAGATGCCCCTCAGTAGATGAATGGATCAAGAAAATGTGGTATATATACACAATGGAATTCTATGTCTCCATTAGAAAGAATACATTGCCCCATTTGTTAGGAAATGGAAAGGCTTGGAAAAATTTGTATTAAGTGAAGTAAGCCAGGCCAAAGAAACATAGGTCCCATGGTTTCCCTTACTTGCAATATCTAGTATATGTCTGAGTCAAGCAGAAAAGGTCAGATAAGGTGATGTTAGGAAAATGAACCCTAAGATATGTATTCAAATATTTTTTTCTTTCATGTGATTATTTCTAACACATTTATAAGATTATTTCTTTGTTGCTTTGTATGTCCCTCCCCCACAGTATAACCCCTGCTTTTACTGTATTTGATGTTGGTATAATTTGTGGAGGGGAAGGGGAAAAACAAATCCTTTAAATAAGGATACAGGTGGACCCATTGCAACAATGAAATGTAGAAGTCATTATGTGGAAAAGGAAGTTTACAACTTTGGTGTGGGTGGGTGGGGGGGGAACCAGGGCGGATGGGTGGGGGGGTGGAGGGGGGAGGGTGGGAAGGGATGGGAAGGGGAAACAAAGGAGGAGGCTACAATGCTTGATCAGAAATATACTCATTATCTTGCCCATGTAATTGTAACCCCTCTGTGTACAGTATTTTCACAATAAAAATAAAATAAAATAAAAGAAGACAAGGGGGTGAGTAGGCATATGGGTGGATGGAGGGATGGATGGAAGGATGGAGAAGAATTACAGAAGGGAAAGGAAGAAAGATTGTATCCTGCTTGTGGGGGGAGGGGGCAGGGCTGCTTTGCTTACATTCCCATCATCTGCCCTGCCTACCTGTTTCAGTTGGGTTTCTGAGTTGACATGCACATGACAGATTTCACAGTGGAAAGTCTTGTTTTGCAGCCCGTGTTTCCTTTGTTGACAGGTCCTTTGCCTTTTACTCCTGCCCCAGGAAAGGCTTTGATAGTCCCACTTCCATTCCTGGCTTCTAGCATAGTTTTGTGCTTAGTACCTGCCAGGAATAGTTGGGGACACGGGGAAAGAGAAATAAAAAGAATGACAGGGGAAGTGTTAGCTAGTAGATAAGTTAAGGAACCATATAATATCCAAATGTGAACCTTTGGGACTAAGGCTGAAGCATGGCCATGATGTCTAGACTGTAACAACGTGTTCCTGTCACCTTGTATAATCCTATTGAACTTTTCACTTTTGTAAAATGCTGCTCCACATCACAAGCAAACAGCATCATCCTAGCAACTGAACTTGAGAGCCCTCTGAGAGGAAATTAAATGGGTGTGACTGAGTTTCATTTCCTCTTGATGCTATAATAAGCCATAAATGAAGCTGATGAGGAAGAGTGAGTTAGTTGCTGAAGGCAGAGTTGGAAGTGATGTGTAACAAATGTAATCAATTTAAACATGGTGTGTTTACAAAGGTGGCACTAATTAAATATCCACTTTTTAAACAGAATCTAAACAACCTCGCTTGACTATGTGTTTTAGGTTCAAAATGGAAGAGCAAGATTAATAATTTTAAAAAAAACTTGATGGTTCTGTAAAGGTCAAAGTAAGAAAATGAAAGGTAAGCTCAAAGTGTAGGAAGATAACCTGTAAATAAATGCTTATCTTCACTAAAGCATTAACCTCTCTGGGCTCTCACACATAGGTACTGTAACTCCACTTGGCAATCATCAACATTATTTTTTTCAGATCACAGTAGTTCCATCATGATGGCCATTTTCCCTCAAGAGCATTGCTTGGGGCTGGGAAGGTGGCTCAGTGGTAGAGCGCTTGCCTTGCATGCATGAAGCCCTGGGTTCGATTCCTCACACCACATAAGCAAAAAGAAAAAAGCCGGAAGTGGCGCTGTGGCTCAAGTGGGAGAGCGCTAGCCTTGAGGTGAAGTGCTGAGGGACAGTGCCCAGGCCCTGAGGGACAGAGCCCAGGCCCAGAGTTCAGGCCCCATGACCGGACCCCGCCCAAAAAATAGCATTGCTTAAATTTTGCTTTATTTCTAGTTATTACGTGTTCCTTCTTCATCCCTCTTGGAGATGTGTTTTAATTTAGGAATTTCTTTTATTATCACATGTAGCCTTTGTGGTATTTGTTTAAATTAATTTCTACTTCCTACTTGTATTTATTAGGTTTTTGATCAGTTCTGCAAACATAAAAAGAGATTCTTAACTTCTGAGTCATACATCTATCTGCCTCAGAGCATTACTGAACATTAATGAGTAAAACATGTTTGGAACATTCTAGATCAGTGTAGATCCCCTCCTATCGAATAAGATAGTTCATAGCTACACATTTTATCTTATTCAGGATAATCATGACTTTAACCAATCAATATAAAACATATACACTTTACAACGTAGGTTGTTTGCTTTGAATATCAATGTTCTTAATGCATAACTATTATAATACTCATATGTCAACCTAAAGAAGTCAGCGTGGTGTTAGTATTGGAGGAACTGCAGCACTGCACTGAGGGACGAAGCAATTCAAGGTAGTGCTGTTGGTGCCCTCCTCTTCTTTGCCCGGCCTCCGTGCAATAAACATAGGAATTTTCTACTTTGCAGATGGCACACATGTTCTAGGATGCCAGATACAGATACGTAGAAGGTGTTCTGCACCTCTTTCTTGCAACAGATAATTTTATTTCAAAAATTCCCCTCCTGTATTCAAAATGAAATGCACTTCAGGGGCAAATTTAGATTTCCAGTGCACCTGAGAAACCAAGAGCATGTCATCCTGACTTTCAGAAGGGACTCCTGGTTCACTTTTGGTTCAACTCATTTGTGATTTGGAGCCAGGGCTTGGTACATAGCTTACATGCACACACACACACACACACACACACACACACACACACACACACACACACACACACATCTCAAGGTTGGTAGGGGACTTCAACAAGTGGCTTTGCTTCTATGGTTACTATTAATCATCAGTACAGCTGAACTTTGTACAGTATAACCTCATGCACTTAGTGGCAGAGTACTCATCATAATTAAATAGCTATTAGACAGTTTATATTTTTAATGTTTTAAGAAGCTCTAACGGTAACTACTTTTATTTATCCCAAATAAAGCTCAAATTCAATTTAAAAAATCTTGTTTTAACTGAAAACGTTGGGGATAAATGTACATGGAGAATATATACAAGATGAAGATTGAAACTCATTTTTATTGCAATACCTTGATACACCGTCGAGGCTGTGCTAACTGTGCTGTTGGCTCGCAGCAACTATATGCATTAAGTGCTATTTTAATGCCCAATAAGACACTGAGATAGGCAAGACTAAGTTACCCTCACGGGCACAGAAAACAAGCCTTCAATGACATTCTTGAAATCTAGAAAACTGATCCTTAGCTAAGTCCCTAAAATTTCACTAAGGGCTTCCAACACAACTGGCTGTGGTTGTATACCAGTCTTCCATAATATCTATCCTTTGATTTTCTACCTTACATATTAATAGTCTTGTGTAAAACTGGCTTTTATTTGGGTCTTTCAAACCCCGCCTCCCAATCTATTTTCTTCCAGCACCCTCTTCTTCTGAGCAGAATTCTATAAACCAGGATATACTAAAGGGCTGTGGCCCTGTACTAGTCCACAATATCACTTCTTGTTTCTGTATCGCATAAACGCCTTCCAAGGTCCAGGCCTACCTCTGCATCCTATGCAACTGCTCAGCAGAGCAGTCAAAAATATGTTTCTGCACCATCTCCCGTGCCATCTCTGTCTTGAGAAAATCTTCAAGATTTCAGGCAAAGGTATCATCCTGACACTCTTGAAAGCCTGACCTGATAGTAATTCTATTTGAAGTTCTGTATGAATGACTTCTGAAAGGAATACCATATTTCATCCAAACTCTGCAAATCATAAAGTTGCAAGTAATTTTATTTACTTTTTGCTTAGCTGTCTAGTTTTGAATATGTTGAGGCAAAATAATTATTGTTCTTGTATTTGTAAAAAATCAGCATCCATCATGTAAAATAACAGAATGAAGTGCGCTGTGCATTACGCTTTTCCATAGCATAATGAGCTGAAAGCTCTAAATAATGTCAATGATATAGAGCTTCTCCCTTAAAATACCATTAGTCAGGTAGTTGCTAGTGACCCATGCCTGTAATCCTAGCTGAGATGTGAGGATCATCACTCAAAGCCATCCCAAACAGGAAAGCTTGTGAGACTCTTGTCTCCAATTAACCCTCAGAAAACTGGAATTGGCACTCCAAAAGCTCAAGGACAGCACCCAGGTCCAAACTGCAAGACACATGAGCAACAAAAGAAAAGACAAGAAAAGACAAGAAAAGAAGAGAACAAACACATCAGTCTCTATTGAATAGTGAACATGGTTACTATGGTAATTTTCTATATGAGAAATTAGCACAATGTGCTAATTTATTATATAGCTTACAACTGACATCACAACAGCTCCACAGATACAACTTGTTAGTAAATCCATAGCAGTTCAAAGGCTGACCTCACTGAAGGCTTGATTCATGACTTGAACCCCAGTGCTGCTTATTTTACAAATGTAAAAGTAAGCAGGGCACTGGTGGCTCACACCTACAATCTAGCTACTCAGGAGGCTGAGATCTGAGGCTCAGGGTTCAAAGCCTTCCCAGGCAGGAAAGTCTGTGAGACCCTTATCTCTAATTAACTACCAAATAAGACAGAAATGAGGCTGGGGTTCAAGTGGTAGAGAGCTAGCCTTGAGCATAAAAGCCCTGGGATAGCACCCAGGCCCTAAGTTCAAGTCCCAGGAATTCCACCAAGAAACATGTAAACAAGAGCCAGGTATAGTGGTATGTACTTGTAATCCCAACAATGAGAATGGAGGAAGGAAGATTGTGAGTTTGAGGCCAGCCTCTATTATATGGTGAGTGTGAAGCCAGCCAGAAAAACACATTGCTTTATCAATGTTTCTGCTAAGAATTCTAGGACTCCAAAATTCTTAAACTCTAATTGTGAAGGACAGGTTTGACCTGCCAAATTGATACCTACATCCAAATAAATGTGTTTTTCTGTCGAAGGATTTTTAAGAAGTACGTGGGCTTCATGATGATTATACTTGTATTTGCATTATACTTGTATATGTATGGTAAATGTGGATGGTACAGATTCTGATAGAAAGGCAGATCGGTTTCTAGGTTTCCCAGCAACTGAACTCCCGAACTGTGCCTGACTGCAGTTAATGTTGGTAGGAGGAAGACACATGCTAAAGGAATTGTTCTCCATCTGCAGTCACCCCTCAGAGTTTTAAAGTCAATTCCCAGATATTACGAATGAGGCACAATCGGTCAGTGACTCAACATGCAGCTGCAATATTAACTTCAGACAAGATTCACAGATGAATCTACTTCTGGTACAGCTGCTGACATAACCCTGGCAAAGAACAGTCTTTTAAATGAAAAGTCGATCTTGGAAATCAACTCATGATTTAGAGAAAAGCTGATGTTTGTATGTACACATAATCTCACCCACACTTCCCACACACATGCCGAAAGAGAAACCAAGAGAAGTACAGAGAGAGAGAGAGAGAGAGAGAGAGAGAGAGAGAGAGAGAGAGAGAGAGAGAGAGAGAGAGAGAGAAGCAGGGGCAAACAGAAATGGAGACAGAAGTGGGAACAGCCCACACTAAGCAAAAGCAAAATGTAAACATCACCTGATGTGGAAAAAATAACTTGTAATGTCAAAGCTCATAGAATTCACAAACTGTATAGACCATGGTAATGACAATATGCTTTGTAAAAATTTAAATGTGTTTGTGACTCTGAGTATCACTATTCCACAATACTGTGAAATATGTGAAATTTTATGTAATCACCTAATCTCAATTAAAGGAAAAGAAGTGAGAGAAGGGATGGGTTAAGAGAGGTGGGTGACAATGTTGTCAGGCACCTTGTACTCATATACTGTTTTGTAGAATGGGAACGTCTTTGTACAACTACTTAAAGATAATAAAATTTAAAAAAAGATAATAAAATTAAAAAGAAAAAAAAATGGAGACAGAGTCAGAGACAGCAACAGACAACTAGATAGGACCAAATTATAAAGGAAGAGCATTTTGTGTTTGTTTCTCAATATTCTCCTATTTACTTTTGTGTTTTAAAGTTTAGAGTTCAAGTAAGAGACATTGGGGTTTTGTTTTATTGTTTTTGTGCTTGATTGGTCCTATAACAAAACACATGTCTTTAAGTTGTGGGAAGAGCACACAAAAACTTACATGTAGAGTTCATAATTCAGTGGCCTCACATAAGAAATACTAAATTCTCTCTTAAGTATTTATTTTTACATAGTGTTGGCTACAATAGCATTATTTGCTATAGAAATCATAATATAGATGTTTTAATCAAACATACATGGAAAAGTACAGGCCATACTTTATGACATAACTTTAGAAAATATCATTTAGAAGCAAATACTAGATGTGCACAGCAATCCAGAAATCAGGTTAATATAAAAAAAACTTAGAATTATATGCTATTCCACCTAGTTTGCAAAAACACATACACATGCACACATGTGCATATGTACACATGCACACACCATAGTCGACAAGCTCTGGAAACCCTCCCCTGCCCCCATATAAATGCCACTTTGCTTGTCACTTTTCTGTTTTAATGGCTAATAAATGCCATCTAATAATTGTGCCACTGTCCCCCCAGCCCTTGTGTCCTGCTGCACAAGTTCTAATCTATTCAGAAGAAGATGGTTGCAGGGCTGTGGAGACAGAATGAAAGCATGTGCCTCTCACCACTGTTGTGCGCCTCCAGCTGTGAGGCCGAGTTGAGGGCCACCTTGCATAAGGAGCAGTAAAGCAGTCGTTGTGCCTTTTCCTCCTCCGTCTCTGTGGAAGGACATGAGCTATTGCCGCTAGCTGTCGTGGGGCTTTTTTCTGCTTTACAGGTGATCTCAGTTGTCATAACACTGCTTTTGCGGATTTCCACACTTGTCCTCGTTGATATCGCCGATGTCCCTGTGGTACTGTCTGCATTCAAAAGAGCATAGGAGGAAGGGGAGGATAGAGGGTCATTGTCTTTCCTTGTTTGGAAACGGATGGCTAACATGACACCCTGTTAATAATGATAAGAGCAGTGAGAAACCACTGCTTGTTAACTGCATCTGTCATCTAATGAGAGAATGTACACAAATGACCACATTTCACTTAAGCTTTGGAGGAAACTATCAGGTGATTCTTCAAGATATACATGGATGCAAGTTAGAAAATATTCTCTGGGGATAAATAAACATGTCATAAGTTTCTCTTAACACAATGCCGGAATAGAAGAATGTTTGCAATACATACATTTTCCTTTTAAAAATTTTAAAAAGAGGATAAGTGCCTTTAAAACATGCTTTTTTCCTATTTGTCCTATTACTTTTCTGTTGTCCTCCTGTATTGCTTTATTTTATTAATCAGCAAAACTCTGATATCAAAATTGCTTTCCCTAGATCAGCAGCTGAGAAAACCATTGTTCTATTTACAAAGAATCATAATTCAGCACCCTTTGAAAAGTTCATTGGTATGAAACCAAGAGGAATTCTAGTCTGCTGTATTTCTTAAGTGGGCAGTCTGCATCAGACCACATGCAGGAAGTTGTGGTAGAAGCAATCAAATGATCCACCTCACTCGCAAAGAATTCACAGACTAATCATCCTGTGTTAAATGTCACATGGTTTCACAAGTTCGAGGACCATGAAAGTGTCGATGCGCTGTAATCCAACAACCCTTTTGGCGCTGAAGTCTGATACTAAATCTGGAGAGATCAACCTTCAAAGAGAAATTACCTTGTCCTAATGTCATTGGGCACACAGGACTGTCCTCTTAAAAGTGCCACTCACTGTGATATTAGCAATGCGTGTCATACCCAGCAATAACTTGCAAGTGAGCTTTCTACTGGTTTCTCCATCTGTCAATACCCCATCTTTACCTGCTCTCCTTCATTCTGCCTGTCAGCTGGTTCTTATCCTCTTAGTCTGAACACTCCCTGCTGTATCTCCAGCTTCAGCTGCTCTGGGATCTCTCATTCCACATGTCATTCCATGTGCTGCTGTGGTCACTTTTCAAAGACACACTAAGCAGTTCATGATAAATAGGTTGGACAAGGCGATACGTAAGGGACAGCAGCCTGCCTGCAGTGCTATTGCCTCTGAATACATTTACTTCTTATAACCTCATACTTTCAAGGGGAGAGAGCAGTATAAAATGCCTTTGAACTTGTGTATTTGCATTGTTCCAAGCATAAGAATGAAGACACAGGTTGAGGTTGTTTATTCCTTCTTTCTTAAATATGGAATCAAAAACATTGGCTAATGTCAAGGGACAAGGGGCAGGGTGGGGGTAATCGGAAGAGATGGGAAGGGGAAACAAAGGAGGAGGCAACAAGGCTTGATAAGAAATGTACTCACTATCTTGTCCATGTAATTGTAACCCCTCTGTATGGTATTTTTACAATTAAAAAAAAAAGAAGACTCTTGTGAAGGGCTGGTCTGTAAAAGGCTCTTCCCGATCTTGTTTCCTATGCTTGACACTTCACACAATCACTTATTTTAGTGACTGAAATTATTAAGGCAGTCTCGTTCAGCGGAATGGAAAACACTCAACTACTGTGGTTTGTTTTTTTTTTTAAATGTCTACCTGCAAATGAGTGACTCATTGGATAAACTTTCCAAACAAAAATAACCCTCATGCCATTTTTTTCCATTTGTTCTCTTGGACAATGAGAAGCTTCTGATTAGCTTTCAGTTGCCTGCTAAGGTCCCATTACTAAAATCAAGATGATCTTACTGCATTTACGGTCCCCTCATAAAAAGAAATGATTGCTAGCATGAACCTCCGAGTAACTAACTCATCACCAATTTGCCAAATGTTTTCTATACTTAAAAGAATTTCATATACTTATACAAATAACACAACTTGACCTTCACAGGGAGCTATGAAAATCAGGACATCCCAGAAATTACAAAAATTCCCCGATATCACACCAGTGGGATGAAGTCAACCAAAGCAAATTACTTCATAAGATGTAGTTGTCTTGGATAATGGGGTAAAAATACTGTGCAAGACAATCCTGTCCAAGATTGTCTACAGTAAGATCTTAAGCTGTAGTAAAGTCAGTAAATTGTTCTTATAGGCAGCTTTGTGGAGGAATGATAGCTATGTTTACAGAAATTGGATTTCCCAATATGGCCACACAGGGAAACCAGATGTGATACTCTGGGTATTTATTTCAGGGAAATTCACCATGAATTTTTGTAGTAATCCTTATCTTTCAATAACTTCTTCTCTGGACTGACATATTTCTTTTATGTCTTGATCTGAAAATGGTCCATGACATAGATCATATTAATCCCACAATAACTTCTCTACATTGAAATTGGGAAACAAGAGTAAAAAAAAATGGTGTTTCCAATCCTTGTAATAGCTACATTGGTATATCTTCTAATCCCACAGGAGAGTATACATTTACACCAAAATCACTAAGACTAGAGACACCAGATTATTTATGCATAGGACTTAGTAAAGAATTAACATCTCTTTAGGCAAGTTCCTTACTTGAAACAGGCTTAGGAGAATTAATATTCAAAGGCTTAACTTCTTCTACTTCTATTTCTTGTCCTATTTTGACCACATAGTTGAGCATACATATTATTTTCTGAGATTGGAATGAACTTGAAAGAATATAAAGGTATATACTTTTTTTTTTTTAACTTGAATCTGTGGATAATGATTCTTTAAAGGTAGGATTTGAATTAACTTGGAACAGGATGTGGACTTTCACTTATCAGCGTTTTATCTGTGATGAAAGGTCCTTCTTTTCAAGTCAAGGAGTTAAGGTAAACACATTTTAGCATATGCCTATCCCAAGAGAATCAACTATTTTATACACTGCACACAAAATGACATAGAAATTTGCAAAAGGGCAAAGAGGCTTTCCTTAATGTGGTTACATTAAATCACTAATTATACAATTACTGTAAATCATTCTTATTTACTCATTAAAATAGAAGGATCAATGGATGTACCTGGCAGCATCAGGTAGTATGATAAGGATTCCTTGTGTGGTCTTTCTTCTTCAAATCATAATACCTGACCAGTCGTAGAAAGCACAAAAGAAACCTCAAGTTAAGGTCACTCCACCCAATTCCTGGCAAGTACCCTCAATGCTGCCAATGCCGTCAGAACAAGGAATGTCTAAAAAAACTGTCTCTGTGTGGGAGAGTCTATGCAGGTTTAACATCTAACTGCAATGTAGGGTCTTGGATGGGCTCCTGTGGTGATAGAAGGAAATTTGTCAGAAACATAAGAAATGTAAATGAAGAAGAGGTTTTTGCTAACAATTTGTCAGTATTGATTCATGAGTCTTGACAGATGAACTGTGGTCATGTGAAACGTTAAAAATAAGGAAAACTGGGGCTGGGAAGGTAGCTCAGTGGTAGAGTGTTTGCCTCGCATGCATGAGGCCCTGAGTTTGATTCCTCAGCACCACATAAACAGAAAAGGCTGTAAGTGGTACTGTGGCTCAGGTGGCAAAGCACTAACCTTAAATTGAAGAGCTAAGGGACAGTACCCAGGCCCTGAGTTCAGGTCCCTTGACTGACAAAAAAAAAAAAAAAAAAAAGGATAATTAAATACAAGGTGTAAGGAAGCTCTCCTGTATTTTGTTTTGTCATCTAACACTTCAGATTTTCCAAACTCTTCTCATATTGACAAGTAGAACTAGATAGTGTGTGGTTTGGGTTACTTTGCATAATCATAGTTAAACTCGGCCTTAGTGGTTTTAAAACATAGCAGTCTTAATTTCAAAATAGAAAGCTTCCAGGACACTTTTCAACGTCATGATGTATAAGGTAAAAACTGGAACTGAAGTGTGTGTGGTACAGTTTCAAATCAAAGCTTGTTATCCTACGTAGCCGGGTCTCATGTGCCCAGCCTTCATTCCATCAACATTTATTAGGCTGCTGTTTTGTGCTAAGTTCTGTGCTAAGCCACTGGGGACAAGAAGCTCAATAAACATAGATCATGTCATTACTGGCATAAAGAGGCTAGTTTTTGATATATCTCATATTGATTTGGTGGTCTGTGTAATAATAATGTAACTGGTTAATTTATGAAACATCTCACACAATAATTTGAAATATCAATAATAATAATCATTATAACTATTAAAAAACCTTCCATGTGTTTTGTTTAATATTATATACTTGTACTTAAATATCCATGAAATAGGCTCCCCAATAAATGTTTGACACATAGGAAAGGAAAATAATAAGAAAGGATGGGGAAGTACTTTTTTAAGCAGTTACAGGTCCTAGTGCACTCTCAGCTTACATGTCTCCCAAAGGTACGTATCACTCTTATCCTTATCTTAAAGAAGGAAATTCTGGATATAGAAATTTGGGAATTTGGCCAACATCATAGCTTTCAATCACATCGTCTACCTCAGTGTACATGCTCTTCATTTGTTCTTTTATTGCTCAAGTTTAAATATATGTGGTAAAAGAATTTGAGTCACTCATGATTTATTATTCATGGTGAAAGATGACGTGTTAGGCATTTGACTTTAAAAGAACCTAAACTTGGCCAGAGCATGAGTCAAATCACAAATGTCCAATCATGCATTTATGTGAAACTACTATACTTTGCTCAAATCCATTTAGAAAGAGAGGAAAAAGGAAAACCTGCGGCTCTGAAATTACCTCTTGTGAAAAGTGGTAAGAATAAATCACAGCCTTCTTCACTGTACTGCGCCCCTCCCCAGATAAAAATGAGAAAGTAGGATAATGATTCACTTTTCTCAGTATTTCCCAAAGGCTGATTCTGATTTCTTTTTGCTATTCAACCAATGACTCTAGCAACAATATATGTGACAGGGAATGGAAAATAATGGGTGGCATTCTGTGGAAGAGAAAGATTTGAGATTGTGTGGACTTAGATTTTTGAGTCATTTTGCTGCTAGTGCCCTATAGCAAATACCCATTATTGAAACACTCATTCTTTGGCACTGAAACAAATTGATAATACTTTGTGGAATGGGGCGTTGGTTGAGAATGAAAAGAAGCATTA